CTCAAACTCATCCACTAACCTTTGCAATTTTTCTTTAGAATCTCCTATAAGCACAGTATCATCAGCAAAAAGTAACTGTGTCAGTTCCCATTTTGAATTTGATTCCCCATAATTTAATCCCACCCCTCTCCCGAACACCCTAGCATTTACTTCTTCTACAACCCCATCTATAATTAAACAACCATGGTGACATTACACATCCCTGTCTAAGACCTACTTTTACTGGGAAGTATTCTCCCTCTCTTCTACATATCCTAACCTGAGCCTCACTATCCTCATAAAAGCTCTTTACAGCATTTAGTAACTTACCACCTATTCCATATACAGTGGTCCCTTGTTTTTCGTAATTAATCCGTTCCTGGAGGAGCTACTAAAAACGAAATTTACGATTTGCGAATCAATTTTCCCCATAAGAAATAATGTAAATACAATTAATCCTTTACTGACACCCAGAAGTATTAAAACAAAAAAATTTTTTACATGAAATATACATGTAATACATAAACAATACAATGGGAAATGATGAAAGAAACATTAACAGCATAACACTTACCTTTATTGGAGATTCTTCTTAGTGTATGGGAGACTGGAGGAGGAGAGAGATTGGATTGTTTACAGTTTGGAAGGGGAATCCCCTTCCAGCAACACCTCAGGTACCAATTGCTTCTCTGGGGTTGCTTCTCTTCTCTGTTTCTTAATGCCACTAGGACCACCTTGAGAGTCACTCTAGTCCTGTCTCGCAAAGTAACTGTGGAGAGAGCTCTGTTTCTGGCGTCTCTTTAACACTTCATTAAAATAGTACAAGACTTTGTCACTGTACATATTTCTCTCCTTCTTTACCACAGGCTTGGCACTAGGAGCTTTCTTTGGAGCCATGGTAGCTTATTTAGTACTTGCAAGCACTAAAATGAGTGGATTATGAAATATTTCATAGGAGCACTTGAGGGGACCTTCACTCACTGGTAAACAATGCCAGACTGGCTGGGTAGGGAGGCCTCCCCGGCTCACACCATGCGTAAGCGTCCTGGACGAACTACTATTCGCGAGTCAACCTATGAAAAGCGAATCCATGTTTATACGAAAATACCCCTATGATTGGCGAAATTTACGATTGCCGAGAACTACGAAAAGCGAGGGACCACTGCACTTTCAACATCTGCCACATTGCTCCTCTATCCACTCTATCATATGCCTTTTCTAAATCCATAAATGCAATAAAAACTTCCCTACCTTTATCTAAATACTGTTCACATATATGCTTCAATGTAAACACTTGATCTACACATCCCCTACCCACTCTGAAGCCTCCCTGCTCATCCGCAATCCTACATTCTGTCTTACCTCTAATTCTTTCAATTATAACCCTACCGTATACTTTTCCTGGTATACTCAGTAAACTTATTCCTCTATAATTTTTACAATCTCTTTTGTCCCCTTTCCCAATCCCTAGGTACCTTCCCCTTTCATACATTTATTAAACAAAAGTACCAACCACTCCAACACTATATCCCCCCTGCTTTTAACATTTCTGTCATGATCCCATCAGTTCCAGCTGCTTTACCCCCTTTCATTCTATGTAATGCCTCACGTACCTCCACCACACTTACATTCTGCTCTTCTTCACTCCTAAAAGATGGTATACCTCCCTGGCCAGTGCATGAAATTACCGCCTCCCTTTCTTCCTCAACATTCAAAAGTTCCTCAAAATATTCTCGCCATCTACCTAATACCTCCCTCTCCCCATCTACTAACTCCCCTACTCTGTTTTTAACTGACAAATCCATACTTTCCCTAGGCTTTCTTAACTTGTTTAACTCACTCCAAATTTTTTTCTTATTTTCATTAAAATTTCTTGACAGTGCCTCTCCCACTCTTTCATCTGCTCTCCTTTTGCACTCTCTCACCACTCTCTTCACCTTTCTTTTACTCTCCATATACTCTTCTGCTTTGTAAAAACCTCTCGTAAGCTACTTTTTTCTCTTTTATCACACCCTTTACTTCATCATTCCACCAATCACTCCTCTTTCCTCCTGCCCCCACCCTCCTATAACCACAAACTTCTGCCCCACATTCTAATACTGCATTTTTATAACTATTCCAACCCTCTTCAACCCCCCCCCCCACTACTCATCTTTGCACTAGCCCACCTTTCTGCCAATAGTCGCTTATATCTCGCCCGAACTTCCTCCTCCCTTAGTTTATACACTTTCACCTCCCTCTTACTTGTTGTTGCCACCTTCCTCTTTTCCCATCTACCTCTTACTCTAACTGTAGCTACAACTAAATAATGATCCGATATATCAGTTGCCCCTCTATAAACATGTACATCCTGGAGCCTACCCATCAACCTTTTATCCACCAATACATAATCTAACAAACTACTTTCATTACGTGCTACATCATACCTTGTATATTTATCCTCTTTTTCATAAAATATGTATTGCTTATTACCAAATTTCTTTCTACACATAGCTCAATTAAAGGCTCCCCATTTACATTTACCCCTGGCACCCCAAATTTACCTACTACTCCCTCCATAACATTTTTACCCACTTTAGCATTGAAATCCCCAACCACCATTACTCTCACACTTGATTCAAAACTCCCCCACGCATTCACTCAACATTTCCCAGAATCTCTCTCTCTCCTCTACACTTCTCTCTTCTCCAGGTGCATACACGCTTACTATAACCCACTTTTCACATCCAATCTTTATTTTACTCCACATAATCCTTGAATTTATACATTTTAGTCCCTCTTTTCCTGCCATAGCTTATCCTTCAACATTATTGCTACTCCTTCTTTAGCTCTAACATGTACCAGCATATATATACACACCCCTCTGGTTTTTCTTCTATTTTCTTACTAGTTCTTGTTCTTGTTTATTTCCTGTTCACTCCATGGGGAAGTGGAACAGAATTCTTCCTCCGTAAGCCATGCGTGTTGTAAGAGGCGACTAAAATGCTGGGAGAAAGGGGCTAGTAACCCCTTCTCCTGTATATATTACTAAATGTAAAAGGAGAAGCTTTCGCTTTTCCTTTTGGCAACCCCACCTTGGTGGGATACGGCTGGTGTGTTGAAAGATGAAAGAATTAGCAATCATTTCTTTCTTTTGACCCGCACTACATCCGCGCACATTCAAACATTTCAATTTTATAAAGTTTTTCTTTTCCTTGTTTTTAGTAGTTTATACAGGAGAAGAGGTTACTAACCCATTGCTCCCAGCATTTAGTTGCCTCCTACGACACGCAGGGCTTACGGAGGAAGGATTCTCTTCCACTTCCCCATAGAGATAAGCAGAAATAAACAAGAGCTAGGAAGAAAACAGAACAAAACCCAGAGGGGTTGTATATACGCTTGTACATACATGTGTAGTGTGACCAAAGTGTAAGTAGCTGAAATCTTGCATGTTTATGAGACAGAAAAAGACACCAGCAATCCTACCATCATGCAAAACAATTACAGGCTTGTGTTTCACACTAATTTGGTAGAACGGTAGTACCTCCCTGGGTGGTTGCTGTCTACCAACCTACTACCTGTTTTTTATCATGTATTACAAACATGAGTTCAGCGAGCATTTTTATTCTTTCAAAAGTATTGTCACTGATAAGTCTTTCATCTAGTTCAAAGGTAGACTGTCATTCATGCAGTATATACTAAGCATAAAGAAATGCTTTGGTGTCAAGCTGTTATGTGATTATGAATGTGACCTAGTACTGGATCTCACTGTGTACACGGGAACAAAACACTGAAGGATACCAAGAAGTTAGTGGGAATTTCAGGTTATGTGGTGAGAAAATTGATACAGTGGAGCCTCAGTTTTCATCATTAATTCATTCCAGAAAGTCTGATGAAAACCGAATTGTAATCTCATTCCAAAAACTTTTTCTTCTCAGCAAAATTTGTTGATAAAACCTCACACTCCTTACATTCCCTCACCAATTATTTAAATTCTCTTTTATTCCCCATATACTCCACCCTCAATATACAACTTTAACATTATAAAAACCTCTCATGTGCTAACTTTTTTCTCCCTTACCATCCTATTTACCTGAATATTTCACCAACTGCTCTCCTTCCCACCTGCACCCACCCTCTTATACCTATAGAAGTGTATAATGTAAATACATCTGTAAAATAAGGCATGTAATAAAGTTGGTAGAATTACCGACAATATGTAAAGTAAAAGGACACAAGTGCGACTAATGTGACATTTATTGTGGCAACGTTTCGCTCTCTAGGAGCTTTATCAAGCTTGATAAAGCTCCTGGAGAGCAAAACGTTGCCACAATAGATGTCACATTAGTTGCACTTGTGTCCTTTTACTTTACAAAATAAGGCATGTAAAATAAGCACATGTAATAATGGAATTCAAAGCCAAGACATATTAAACAACAGTATCTGTTGCTCATTATTAAAATTACATAGAATGTTAAAAGTCTAGGTAGTAGGTTGGTAAACAGCAACCGCCCAGGGAGGTACTACCGTCCTGCCAAGTGAGTGTACAACGAAAGCCTGTAATTGTTTTACATGATGGTAGGATTGCTGGTGTCTTTTGTCTGTCTCATAAACATGCAAGATTTCAGGTATGTCTTGCTACTTCTACTTGCATTTAGGTCACACTACACATACATGTACAAGCACATATATACACACACACCCCTCTGGGTTTTCTTCTATTTTCTTTCTAGTCCTTGTTCTTGTTTATTTCCTCTTACCTCCATGGGGAAGTGGAACAGAATTCTTCCTCCGTAAGCCATGCGTGTTGTAAGAGGTGACTAAAATGCCGGGAGCAAGGGGCTAGTAACCCCTTCTCCTGTATATATTACTAAATTTAAAAAGAGAAACTTTAGTTTTTTCTTTTGGGCCACCCCGCCTCGGTGGGATACGGCTGGTATGTTGAAAGAAGAAGAAGAATGTTAAAAGGTGGTCATAATTTTTTAATTACATAAAAGTTTAAAATATCAGTTGTTACTATAATAAAATAACTTCACACTTACTCTGGTCAGGAGGCACAGGGCAAATCTGCGGCACTTTTTCCTTACAAGTAGTGTGGCAGGCAAAGCCGCAGACCTCACACACAACCCCTTGACGAGTAAGGCCAACCATGAGGGATGTACAATGAGAGCACTTTATAGGGTTACTAAAAGAGCGGACTAGGAACTGGTGAGCTTTTTGTTTCATCATATGAGGAGAAGGCCCACCACCACTGCTACTACTGCCTCCTGACATTCCCATGGCAACAGATGAATGTTGGTGATGAGCCATTGTAGGCATTACTCCAGGAGGAACATTGGTGGCAGTTTGAGGCAAAGGTGGCAGAGGACGAGACTCCATGTGAGGTGAACCAAGTTGCTCCTGTCAGAAGAAAATTGCAATAAAATTTCAATGGAATATACAGGTTATTGTGGTTAAGCTGGCTGATCAAGCCACCAAGCAAGGGGCCTGATCTGGGATCAGGCTGCAGGAACAACCTTCCCCCCCCCCCAAATCAACAGAATGCAAACAACTTTTGCAGAAATTAAAGGCCTCACACTGCAATGATAGATGCATTTGAATAGTATTAAAAATTACAGAGGATAATTTGATAAATGAATGCAAAATTTCACAAATGCAGTATGGAAAATGTATGTAGCAGTGAAAACTTGGGACAATAAGGAAATTAATTTTTTAAATTAAAATCAATAGAACTGAATATTTTCTGATTACCTGGTAAGTATGGTAATTCCAATTATAAGCAATCATGTAGTCCAGAAAAATATACAGGTGCTATAATGTAGAAGTTAACTTCATACTGACTACTCAGGATAGCATGTGTACCAGACACATTTCTATAGTAAACAGGGAAGAGTAAGCATTTTTTTTTTTTCCTCCCCAACAATTTTCCCACTGAAGAAAAGTAGAGACAGGTTACTGAGAAAGTTGGGAAGATAAGTGACCTTGGGGAAGGGGTAGAAAATGTGGGGAATGAGAAAAGTGTGAGAGAAAATGAGTGTGCAGACTTGAAAATGTGATTACAGTACTTACTTATTTCTAATTCTTGAACAGTGATACCTCCATATTTATGAAGGTTAGGTTCCTAGAAACCAGACTCATCAAATACTACTAAACTATAGGTAGGTCCCACTTATACAGAAGGTTACATTACTGGCTACTGCTGCTAGCAAAAATCACTGTGAAGTGAAACATAGCCCTTTTTCACTTTCAAATACATATAAAAGCCTGATAACATGTTTACATTATCATATATTAAGTGAGCAATAGAGCTAGGCCTAAAAAATGCATATAGAGCACACACATTACTAATTTTAAAATACTTTCATCCTTGGTTTATAGCGAATGGTGAATACATATTTATTGTAGGAAGCCTGAATAAATGAAGAATGGATATAAATGAACCCCACTGCATTAGCAAAATGATGTACAGTGAAGCACTCTAAAGTGGGGTCTGCCTCTATGTTTGTATAATTAAATTAAAAAGTATAGCGCAGTAGGCTTCTGATTATTCAAGCTACTAAATATGAAGAAAAGCCTCAAATGGAAACAGGCATCTCATTAAATGTGTCGAGGGGGTCGGAATTCTAAGATTTTTCGCTTGCTTGATACAATATGCCATCGAGCATTTTTACACCATACTTCATTATATTACAAAGAATGGAGAGAAATATAAGGGTGAAGAACCACATTTATATTACTTAACAAACACAAGTACAGCAGACAATCAATTAAGATGTGATCTTCTATGACAGCTGTGTTATATGATGCTTGATGAATTGTAATAATTCTTTGATCATGATGACATGATTTTTATTTATACAGTGTAACTATAGGGAAAGACATCTAAAAGTTCCTACACAGAGGCTAATAACCACTTATTTCACTGAAATTACACATTGCTGAGCCATGAACAGTCATTCACTTATCCTAGTTATATTTACGCAAATGTTAAGTGTGTAAGCGATTGACGTTTAAGTGTGGAAAGAACAGTAAACGAAAAAGTGATGGCATAATCTTGTGGTACAGCCATAAATGTTTGTGTTTGAAGTTCAGAAGACCTCCGGAGTATACACCATTTACAGTAGACCCTTATATTACACGGTAGTTACGTTCCTGAAAATGCCATATTAAATAAATCTGTGTTAGATAAACTGAAGAACTTACAGGAAAAATAGGGTTACGTTCCTGGAAGCCCCAAAAAAGCCAAACGACTTTTTTTTAGACCTCCAGATCTTACAAAAATAAAATTGAATATGCCAATGTTGTTCATTGTTTTGATGTATTACATTGTTTTTATTGCTTAAGACTACAAATTCAACAGAAATAATAGTATTTCTTACCTTAAATTGTGGGTGCTGGTGTTTGTTGATGAATGTGAACAGAGTGGAGCTTTATGCTGTGGCCCAATGGGCTGAGGTGGATGGTAGAGATTCTGGTGCTAAAGTTGATGGTTGTACTAGAGTGTGCATAAGTTCAGTAATGGATCTCTGGGCTATTTTACCCTTCAGCACATTATACAGCTGATGGTAAGGCATCAGCTGCTCTAGACACCATTTCATAGCACTGCTTCTAGATCTGTCAGGGTCCTCTTCAGTGAAAAAAGTCTAACTTCCAGTCAGGAAGTCAGTAAGACAGTGAAGTTAGTCACTCAAGTCAGGAAGTCATTCAAGCCAGTCAGCATGAGATTCAAGTAAGTCAAGTCAGCGAGTGAGATGACATCCTGGGTTATTCATTACACAAACTCGTATATTTACCTCATTCTTTTTAACTGTACAAACTGACACTTCATAAGCTCTTGCTAAATCCACACACACGTGAGCCACTCTTAAGCTTGTCTAATATCCTGATTTTCTTCGTAACTCCAAGACTTAAACACTTTCAGGAACACTTGTATGCCTACTGGGTGCCATAATTGCTTGGCAGATACAAAGACATGGCAATTAAAAGATCAAAACACAATTCACAAACTCAGATAACTCCTAGGAGAGAATCATACTAGACACACATGAATGGAAGGCTGGGACATGGGTGGTGGGAGTGTCGGGGGTGGCAGTAGGTCTCTGCTGCCTGGCGACAATGGTCTGACCTACAGCCAGGTGGCAGCCTGAACTGGGGAAATATCCCATGGGTAATGCTCCAAATTTTTTCCCCACCCACAAACAGAACCGTGTTAAATTAATTTTACAAAGTGCTGTATAAAATTAAGCTGCAATTTTTCAGTCGTGTAATAACCAAAATGTGGAAAAAAAATCCATGTAATATAATGGTCTACTGTAACAATAATTGCTTTGGGGTGCTTTAAATGTTGCACATTTCACGTAGGTGCAGTATCTGGACCAGCTACCCCACCTATATGACATTTAGAGCTGAATGATAATGAAAGTTTTTTTTTTCTTTCTTTTCGGGTTTTTCTTTCTTTTTGGATCACCCTGTCTTGGTGGGAAATGGCCGACACGTTAAAAAAAAAAAGATACGCAGCACACCCACATTCTTTTAACAGATAAAACTTCATGAGACTGACTAACCTGGCTAATAAATGATCGAGATGATGTCAGGGAGGGGACGGAAGGAGCTCCTTCGTCCTCCACATCTCCTTCCTCAGACTCCAGTGATCCACCTCGCCGAAGTGATGTTTCTTTCAAAAACTGCTCCAGGAAAGACATCTGCGATGCTGGACGCTCCAACACTGAAGGAGAAGAATATGGCATTTACGAGAATATGATGACAAAGTTAAAAATATTAAAATTAACAAGCCTTCAAGATTACTTTTTATTAGTTCCATGCAGTGTAACAGAAGATATTCAGCAAGATATATAAACCATCAGCCATCTTATAAATGAACAACAGCTGACAATAATTTAGTAATTTCATAGCTAGGCTGTTCCTCCTTCCCAACTGAATTAATTGATTTGGTAGAGAGACTTAGTGACACAGCTGAATGCATTATAACCATGAATAAAAAATTCCATTTAATCCAAACACATACTTCAAGTTCATTTCATATTTAAAATAAATTCTGCATATAAGCCATATAAGAACTTAATATAATTTTAAATAATGCTTCAAAACTCATTGCAAAAGATTATTTAGCTATTAAAGCACTTTCATGTGCATGAAGTAAAAATAAACTTCAGCAAAATAAAATTAAAATTTCTTAGAAACACTCACAACTTTTACCCCAATATTACAAACATTACCAATGTAAAATATTTTCCATCAATTTGGATACTAAATTATGAAACATAATGAGAGAGAGAAAGTGTGAGGATCACTCCATATGATGAAAAATGCTTTACTCTGATACTTACAGCTTTTTGTAATATAGAATCTTCTTAAACTAAATTTGATGCTGGTGAAGCTATAATAAAAGTTGCCAGAATGCCTGAATATCACAATAGTTCATTTAGCAATAGTGTTATTTTTGACTTTCTTCCAAAATAATAACTCAGTATATCATGTAACACATGTTTAACATTTTCAAGCAGTTTAAAAATATATAAAAGGACTTTTTATCAATTAAATGGTTATTACAGGAATAAATCGGCTATTGCTTTTTTTAAACTTGTTCTACAAGCTCACAATACTATACGTTACAATGTAACATTGTCACAACAATAATCCTATCACAGCTTGAGTCCTAAAAAGATCTACCAGTATACATGAACCTAAATTGGCAATCAACTATAAAAGAGGTTATCCTAATTCTCAAAAAATAAATAAATCTTACCAAAACCAAACATACTTCTTCCGACAGACCCTAAGAAAAATACATAAATCTAGGATTAGACATGCACAAAGACCTTCCTGATTCATATTCAAAAAAGTCAAGTAATGTAATTATACTTTGTGAAAGTCCAAAACAATTTTGCATCAGTAACAAGATACATTTCAATGACAGTTACTAATATTACACATCTACAAACAATTTATCAGCTATATTTGCAACACTGGTCAAAAAATACATTAGTTGTTAGGTCAACGCAAGACAAACAAAAAATAAAAAATAAGAATAAATTTAGATCATGGCCAAAATTCTGAAACACATACATATAATAGAAAGTTGGTTATAGTAACAATCACAGGATAATCAAAGATAACACTAGATGTGGTTTCAGAATTGGGACCTTATATTCCAGTTTCATGTAAGTTGAAACCTTGTACTATAGCCTTTTGGCTGGCAGGTTTTGGTATGTCATTCCATACTGAAGGTATCATAATTTAAACTTTGTAGCTCACTTTTACAATACTTCCTGCTTTTTAACAAGACTGCAAAAGAATTTGCCGAGAATTTAGAAAATAGTTCCAGATAACTATACATTACACCAAAACCTGTTCCAAGGTATAAAGTTAAAGCCACGCATAAAAACTGGGCTGGGGTAGGACACGACACAAGAGGTCAAAATGGGGCTCAGTCACAGTACATTACCAAACTTTCGAGTCTTGCGTTCCTGCGTGGCAGCTGCATGTGCGTGCGTGCGATCAGAAATAGATTTTCATGAGAAGGATGAGGAAACCCCAGAGGCAGCTAGTCAGCCCAATGAACAAGGGCATTTTGTCTGCAGCGCCACCCATGGGAGATGATAACTGGGTCAGTGAGGGGCCTCCACAAACACAAGAAAAACCAGCCATTTTCTATAAATTTCACTTGGAATTTCAATGGTCATTTTTTTTCAGGTTAGCTAAGCTAATAAAGAATTTAATGTAGTATGTTACTTTCCACATATGCCGATGGGAATGTTATTAAATATAAATAAATTTTTAATAGAATGCTGGAGAAAGGGCAAATCAGGTTGTAATACTTAACCAATTAAATGTGCACATATCAGTTAAAAATTGTCCACTGTTGCACCTTCCAGTTCAGAATTACTCACTGTTGTTCTTATATTCAAGCCATAAATATTTTTTAAGAAGCCCATGAATAATTATTTAGCCAGCATCCTACACTCAGGACAACACATCTAAACAAAAAATATGTGGAAGGTATAAATTAGGTAATATAAAGACAAAACAAGCCCAGGTCCAAACAGTGGTGATGAAGCTTTAGTTACTTTGCTCACAACTGCAGTAACTATCCACCAAGTACACCAAATTAAAAAATAAAAAAAAGTTAGAAAGGCAATTATTTGGCATTAGGATATTATTTGGCAAACAACTAAGTAAAACATCTCTTGATGGGATCCCCTTTTGTGTATCACAAATAACTGTTACTTGTGACTTGTAGATGTGGGGCCCTCCCTCTTCTTGACCCAATTACCATTGTGGCGGTACTATGTTGGGATCATGCATAATGACATGCCAGGAATAGGCTTCATACATGCCACAGTCACCATCAGACTGGGACTTTGGGAATACACATGTGAAGCACACTACAATTAGCATTTTCATTTTCATACAGCAATAAATGAACAATTACTGAAAAAATATGCATAAATGCATTTAACACTGAAGAATTGGCCACTATAACACTATGTGCAAGTCTTCAATTTATTAATTAGACAACAAAGGTAAGACTACCAAAATACTAGTGAAATTCCACAAGTCCCATTCATTTTGCTGGCATGAAGATGTTGGAGATTTACATGGGAGAGATGAAAGTTGAAGAGTGTTTCCTAACAGAAAAGAAAAAAAGAATGATTGGGGGAAAAAAGTATGAGAATTATTTCCCTCCCAAAGAGATGTTTCGTACTTAGTTCCAGAGTTGGTAAACTAATCAGTGCTCAGCATGGTAAATAGTTTTGTATCAGTAGTTACTACACTACTATATTAGATATTAATTAGCTTGCTTGTGACTTGTTAACTGTAAAGAAAATTATTAGAAATCTTTCAAATAAAATAAAATGCTAATATAGTCTTTGTTCACTTTCATTATTTACCGATAAGCGAGTCGACTGTAATCCACAAGGGAAAGTTGCTGGACAGCTGGGCTATAAGGACAACACAGTGACCAGCTATGGAGAGCATAGCACTTTTCCACCTCTTAGTGCCACTCAAGACTAAGCCCCAGTCTTAGCATTTATAACACATTATACATAGAATTAATAAGAAACAAAATACTGCATTGATTTTAAAGATAAAAATGACAAAATACATTCCTTTGTATACTGAATATTACAAGACTATTTACCTTGTTAAGCATTGTGACTGACTAAGTGCAGTTTGGAAAAGAATGAATCAGACTAGATGCTACTGGTATGTCTTGGGTACGGTAATCAATCTGGTACTGAACAATATGAATGTTTTCAGAGAAAATAAAAATAATTTAATGAGTACCTACAAAATTTCCAAACTTACACAAACATTTAAAAGCTTTTTCAAGCATTAAAGCTACTCAATGGCAAGTGTGAATATACTACTGTGAGTATCATTTTTAAAAAGTATATTATGGAAGTCTATAGCACTGAAAAATAAATCACAAAAATGAGGAAACATTTGTAAGTACAAAACAGGCTATATCTACAATAATGGACAAGGTTGAACAAAATGTTCCTATTAACATTTGGATTAACCTGTAATTTTAAATCTGCATTATTTATATCTGAATAATTAGCAAAACTTTTACCAGGTAATGAAAAGTCTTTATATCCTTGTGCCAGTTTTCTGAACCCAAAATGTATCAATTTAATTCCACATATTTGAATATGAAATTAATATCAGATATTCAATTACATTTCATTCTTTCCACTAATTCAGAATACTTATTAAATCTTTCCCAATTAATCTTTATATATGGACTGAAAATGAGTATGTACTAGAAATGCAATTCCGAAAGTGGTTATATATAATAGGATCCACAAATAAATTTGAGGCAACACGTCTATAAAATTTAATCAAGTGAGATAAAAAAAACTGGCTTTAATATCATTACTGTTCAGTGAGAAAAGGTTGTAAAGTCTAAAAGGTAAATAAGAATGGCATGTATGAAGCCTGAAGAAATTACACAATAGTCCTTATCAATATTCAGACACACTATATTATTTTTTATCATTGCTGTTACAGTCTTAACATTATCATAACTAGTGGTTACTGTTACACAGTTACTCTCACTTGTAAGTCAATGAGACATTTGCACATAGAACAGCAACATTTCATATCCTCTTAAAATGAAACACAATCATTGGAAATGAAAAATATTTGGCACCTTTCAATACATTTTTCAAACTGTTGTATTTATACATTTACTCATGCTCAGCACATATGTGCAAAGTTGCATCTTCTCTTACAAAATGAGGGTGATATTAAGTATCATATGAAACTCTACCTGATACTGCCTGTGTAGCAAAGCATATACACTACTGTAATCTGTTTAGAAACACTATATAAATGCCATGTACATGTTCATAAAGCCAACAAGATATCTTGGACAAAACCATAAAACAACACTACTAAAGCCAATAAAAAGATAAGAGCCTGGTGAAAGGACAATGACTTTTCATATCCATATTGCTAGTGGTCAATTATGTTTTCATTATTTAATATAAATATTAATATGCAACAAATGGTGGGGAAATAATAGTGAGAGACAACTAGTGTATTAAAAATATATACAAGTGGACACTTCTTGGTAAATCCATAACAGCTACATTAAGTATCACCTTGCCCATACAGATCCACTCTTATTTGTGCGTGTGCCTACAAACACATGCATACATACACACATTAAGTCATCAGATCAGGGTCAAATCAAGGTCAGGTCAGGTCAAGGCCTGCCTGCCTGCCTCTCTCTTTCTCTCTCTCTCACATACACACACACACACACACACACACACACACACACACACACACACACATATACACACATGTGAGTGCAAACTCTCAGTCTTTCACTCTCCCTCTCTTACTTTCTCACTCTTCACTCTCATTTCACTCTCCCTCTCTTACTTTCTCACTCTTCACTCTCATTCTCAATCACTCTCTCGGTAAGAGGCAAGACCATGGTCTAGAAGCTTACCCCCCCAAATCAAATTACTGTACATCAAAAATTCCTCTCCCTCTCCTGCCCCCCCCAAAAAAAAATATGAAGATAATATTAGGTTAAAAAAAAAGTCATTAAATCAAGTACACCACAACAATTCCCATAAAAATGACATCAAGATCTGAACAGTGATGATAAAACAGTGATGATAAAACAGTGATGATAAAACAGTGATAATAAAGCAGTGATGATAAAGCAGTGATGATAAAGCAGTGATATAACAGTGATGATAAAACAGTGATAATAAAGCAGTGATGACAAAATACAGTAATAATAAAGAAGTGATGATAAAATAGTGATAATAATAATATGATGATGATAAAACACAAGATGAACCTCTTCCATTGTATAAACTGCATAATCTCAAGAAAGAGTTAACAGCATATCCAAACACTCAGCACTAAGTTCTGCTTTTTGGAATACCATATTTATAAACAATATGCAAAAAACAGTACTACTAGCAAGGACACTCAGTGTACTTTGGAGAAAGTTTACAACAGGTACTGGAATGGCAAGGTTGCTGACAAATATGGTAGGAGGGCACTATTTGCAAACCAATCCTTTATTTATCGAAAACTTTTACCCGCACAGGGGCTTGATCAAGTAAATGTGTGGCACATGCAACACAATATTTAATACGAAGAGAGAGCAAGAGATGATGTAAGCATGGTCAGATAATGGATGATAGTAGTGACACATTGCTATGTCTCTTGCACAGAACTTTGGAGAACATTTTAAGATCACTTTGACCAGAGACTGTGATACTAAATGCCTCTTGATTCTGTTTGATTGGATAGTATTGCAAGTCTGTGTGCTGCTCCAAACACCATCATTTTCTCCATTTTTTTCCTATCCAATCCATTAGATACACCCATTTTCCCTATAAATGACACAAGTGTATTTATATAATGTATATAATTTTGTTGTATGTGCCATGCCATGTACTGACTTGATGATGCTCCTGTGAAGCAAAAACATTGTCTTCATATAATGGTTTACTTTGCACAAAAGTGTCCTCTAACAATAGTTTACAAAAAGCAGAAAATCCTGAGGCACTAAAAATGACAGACATATCTTGACTATACATAGGAAGCAGTAGATCACTGGCAAAAAAAAAAAAAAAAAAAAAAAAAAAAAAAAAAAAAAAAAAAAAAAAAAAAAAAAAAAAAAAAAAAAAAAAAGCAGGGCAATAATACTAATATTATATATCATAAAAATATTGACAGTGTTAAGGAGGTAAATTATAAAACCTAAGGAAAACTATGAACTTCACAACCCAAGACAACATGACTTTAGAGATGAAAGATCTTGCTTACTGCAATTAGTACATCATTATGAAATCACACCCAGTGAGAGAAACTCAAAGTGCACATGTTATGTATACTGATTTTGTAAAAGTTATAACAAAAACATGTAGGGGAATGGATATTCTGATTGTAACCAACAGAACACAAATGTGATAGAATAAAAAAATAACAAGTTAAGTA